GACAAGAATAGTTTGGAGTCCGTTAGGCCTGAGTCTGAGTCTTGATTCTGTTCTTTGATAACCTCCATTTGTTCTTCAGAGAATTATTTCTTGGCTTTTTAGAGTTCGTTTCACCCACTGTAACAAAAATCTGGCCCCCCCTACTTGACGGGGACTTTGTGAGGAGTAAACAGATGGACGTTTGGGACTCCCAGTGAGTGCCTGGCGCCTGGCCAGTCCTCCAGCACTGTGTTCTGGGCTTCTCCCAAATGGAGGGCAACAGACATACTCCATTGTCTTTGTACCCTGAGTAGTTTAATTCTGGAAAGGCTTGGGGACTGACTTTCGGAGAAGCCATCTAAACGGCATTTCATGCTAGGGAAATGGGGAGTGTTCAGCCTTCCAGAGTAGCTTAATTAGCCCCTCTGCTTTTACTGTCAAAATTACCTTGTGGATTAAATATGTAATATGGAGCTAGATAAAAGCAGGCTTGTAGAACAGGTGAAAAAAAAGAAACATTAACCTCATACGTTAATAACATACTTATACACACACACATATGTATATTAAAGACGGTTTTAGGCTTCTGAAGTTTTTTCTTAGATACTTTTAAGACATATTTGAGAATTCGTGGTTCACTTTAATATCAGTGTGTTGGTTGGTTGGTTGGTTGGTTATGTGCCGTGGAGTTGGTTCCGACTCATAGTGACCCTGCACAGGGTTTCCGAGGCTGTAAATCTTTACAGGAGCAGAAAGCCTCATCTTTCGCCCACTGAACAGCTGGTAGTTTTGAACTGCTGACCTTGCGGTTCACAGCCCGATTTGTAACCACTACACTACCAGTGCTCCTTCAGCGTGTAGCATACACTATGTATGGCAAAAGGAACATGAGCTTGAGGATTTAGAGACTTGGATGTGAGTCCTGGTTTACCATTGACTTTGTCACACATGAAGGAGCAGTTAATTCCATTTTCCCTTGAACTTGTTGAAACCCTTTGTGTGTCTGTCGTTGAGTATGGCATCTGTACACCTGAATTCAGGTGCATATCACAGTGCTAATATGACCTACTTCTCTTGACTGTTCTGGAAAAAAAGAAATCACATGAAACAATGATGTCTGGACTGTGTCGAAAGTACAGAGAAAACTTAGTGTTATTTGAGTTTGTAGATCTTTTGTTGTTTTTCCCTATCATTTCAGAAAACAGTGCCCACATTTTATAAATGACAAGCAATTTGCCTACGACCAGAGGAATTTCTAGGGTTGTGAGATAGCTTATTACCGCCAAGGTCAAGGTGTCGTGGCATCTCCCAAAGGGCCACAACAGTTCCTGGATACACACATGTTTGACAGAAGCGACCGGACACTCTAGATATGCCCCATCTCAATCTCGGCTCAGAAGTGACCACCCCCATGAAGCCTTTGGTGCCTTCTGCTCAGTTTGACTTTAACTTGGCATTTCATCTGCATTTGGGCCTCTAGTTTGCAGTCAGTCTAGCAGGTTACATCTGAGTCGTTTTGAAGTCCTTTTGTGTGTGCTGATAGCTAGGGGCGCCTGAATGGGAAAGACACTGGTATTGGAGACCTTCTAGAGCAGGCTCTGCTGGTACTGGGTCCTACTCGCTGTGGTGCTGGAGCACAGTTCTTTGGGCTTCATTTAAACCGTGTGTAGCGGGCACATTTCCAGTTGTTCCGGTGTCTAGCTTTAGAACCAAAGACACACGGCCTAAAAGCAGCTTCCGTAAGTTCACAGAAAAATTCCTTTATCTTATAATTCCGCTTCTCCACAAGTTTTTGGAAAGCCGCCTTGCACTGCTTGATTTAAAAAAAAAATGTGGTGCTTGGTCTCCCATGCATTTCAAAGAAGCATTCATTTTTGCTGTTTGCAAACAATTCTCTTGTTTGGTTGAAGGAAATCTAGCCAGCCGGTGGGCATTCGATGATTTGCATTTTTTCATCCTCTCTACTCTATGGGCAATATGGTGGTGGTGGTTGTTGATTGTCTTACTTTGAAAGTTGCTTTAAACAAAGCAAGAGTCTGTCTTTCCCCCTTTCCCTTGAAGTGAGTTGATTAAAATTGCTGGTGATGTGGGCGGAGACTCTTCTAGTAATGCTCCTGGTGAGTGAGGTTCAGTGGGCTACACTTGGCACCAGCACTGAGGACTGCTCTCTTTAACACAAAGCCAAGTTAGTGACACATCATCTAGACTCTAGAGATGATGAGTCTTCCAAATGAATGTTTGTGTTTTATTTCCCAGACGTTTTCCTCTAAAACCAGCAGTGGCGCCATCAAGATCTGTTTGTCCTTCTCCTTCAGGTATGTCGCTGTCTGCCGGATCTTCCCCTCTGCACTCCCCTAAGATCACTCCGCAGACGTCTCCCGCGCCGAGGAGGAGGAGCCACACCCCCAACCCAGCCAGTTACATGGTGCCTTGCAGTGCCTCCACGCCGGGTAGTAACCCTGGTCCACAGACATCGGCCTCCGGTCAGGTGATCCAAAAGGAAACTGTAGGTGGGACGACGTACTTCTATACGGACACCACTCCGGCTCCTGTCACTGGAATGGTACGTCCGCCCTGAAGTGGAGGTGGTAGGTAGCCCACCTGCAGCGGTTCCTCCGTGGTCCTGAAGAGCTTGACCCTTGCTGCTTTGATGGAAGGAGTCACCCTTAGTTTGCGCCCTTGGGTGAGGTTCCTAGTGCCCTCCTAGCTCTGGTGACTTCTGCCTTACTCTATCGTTTCGTAGTAAGAAATTCGTGTCTCTTCCTGCTCTAGGTTAGCACTTTGTGGCATGTTGTATTTCTGTGCTCACTAGTACTCCTTTGAGCTAGAAGTGGCTCTTAGTGACGTTTGTTTACAGGGACACAGAGTTTGTCTCTTCAGTGAGAGATTGGGGAATGGAGTTGGTAGCTTATCTGTCAGTGGTTTTTGGAAACAAACCCATTACATCTGGCTGGGGTGGTTTCATGTCCCGGCTGGTGCAGTGACAGACAACCTTTAAGGGCTGTTGGCTCACAAGGAGCATGCTCAGGCCGAAGGGAGACAGGAGCCATGGTTGTGGGTAAGAACAGCTGCTAAAAGCTTGGTGATGAAGAGAGAGGAGCTAATATATGACACAGGAATACAGAGACCATACACAGAGCGAATGAATGCTTCTCGGAGTGAATCAATGAGCTGCAGGCAGGAGGGTGGGGAAGAGAGGCGGAAGAGCATTGTCATGTTGGCTTGGTGGTTCCATAGTCGCTCAGGTCAGGATTCTGTCCCTCTTCAGGAGTGATATCATCCCCTGTAAGATAAGAAAAAGTAGTAGGTGCAGAGCTCATGAATGAGAATGCCATGCATGAGCCAGTCAATGGAAGCCCGCCTGAACCTCAGGATTTTCAATAACCTCATATGCATGCGAAAGCTGGGCTGTGAATAAGGAAGACCCTAGAAGAATTGATGCTTTTGAGTTATGGTGTTGGAGGAGAAAATTGAAAGTTCCATGGGCTGCCAAAAGAACAGATCTGTGTTGGAAGAAGTGCAGCCAGAGTGCTCCTTAGAGGCCAAGATGGCCAAACTTCGTCTCTCATACTTTGGACATATTGTCAGGAGGGACCAGTTGCTGGAGAAGGATATCATGTTTGGTAAGGTGAAGGATCAGAGAAAAAGAGGAAGACCCCCAGCGAGATGGATTGGCAAAGTGGCAGCATCAATGGGCTCAAGCTTGGCAACAATTGTGAGATTAGCCCAGGACCGGGCAGTATTTCGTTCTGTTGTGTATAGGGTCACTATGGGTCGATGGCAGCTAACAACAACCTGAACCCTAAGACACTTGACAGACTTGTAGATGACAAACTGAAAACTGCAGTCAACTTTTGTAAACATTTATTTTGACTAAGTTTAATTAAGTTGTGTCGAAAGGTGATTTAAGTGAAAAGAGAACTGCGTCAGATGTAGTTTGAAGTCTTGGTCCTGCCATTGCTCTGTGACCCCAGAGGGCTAGTGTCTCTGAGAGGGTTTCCTCCTTTTAAGATTAGGGCAATGATAATTTCCAACCAGCTTGGAGAAATAACGTAAAAGCCGTTACAGAAGTGCTGAGAAATCATGTAAAATGTGTTAAAAAAAAGCACAACTAAAAGAATGACTAGTTTAGTTGGTCAGAAAAACGTTCAGAAACTGTCTCTGAACAGCAGTTGAACAGCAGAGCTGGAGACGTCTTTTTCTTCTTTCAAATACAAGGGAGCTTCCAAAAGCTCCTGGGAATCTCATTATAGTTCAAGCCCATCTTTCCCACACACCTTTTGAAGCCCTCTTGTTAGAATTCCATCTGTATCTTCCTTGTCTTGTTTCTAATATTTCATAATTAGTTGCATTTTTCTAAAATTTCATAGTAGGCATAGAAAACAATAAATTTAGTAATTTACAAAGTTTGGTCACAGAACTGTCTCAGCTGTTTTTACTGAGATTAGACACGACATATTTTAACTTCTCCCCACTCATACAGATATGCTCCTGCTAACCGAGGCAGTTAGCCAAACTGGGCCAAAGGGAGCATTCTCCTCCCTGCACATGAAAGGAGACCATACAAGTTTTGCACGCCTCCTTCTTGGGGGAGATCCGGAGCAGACTAATAATCTTAGGGTAACAGAAATCGGTTGGATTCATTTTAATTTGGCTGGGGGGAGGGGTTTATTTTTAAAAGCGTGAAGAAACAAAAAAGTTTGTTTTCCACTCTAAAGTGGCAGAATGAAAGCACAACAGAAGCCCCCTTTTGAAATGGACTTTGAGTTTGTGTTTGAGGCCAGTGTCGGAACGAATGAGGAGAGAAGGGGGCTGTACAAGTAGAAGGGTGCAAGGCAAGGAGTTGGAAGCAGCTTCCGTAACTCGGCCGTCATTTGCTCAGAGGGTAACGAGATGGTAGCACCTTCTGCTAGCGGGATCTGCTGGCTTGTGAGTCATTGGTCCTCTTCCCTGTGCACAGTACTGGATATAGACTAGGCCCGGAAAAGCCCATGAAGTTATGTGGCAGTTACGTGGGCAGCTGGGACAGTGTTAACTTACGTGGTTTACTCCTCTCTGCGCGCTGCTGAAAACAGACTGCGGACAACTGTTTGGACAGCCTTTCTGCCGAAGGATACTGCTGCCTTCGCACTCACACTTACCTCTTGACTACTTTTTCAAGAAATGTTTTCTTTTCACTAGATTTATATGCAAATAAGGTGATTAATTAAAAAAAAAAAAAAAAGCATTCCTTCGGAAGGAGTAAACATTTAAAGCGTAGAGTTGTATCAGAACATTGGTAACACTTGTCAATTGAGAAGCATTGGTCACGGCATCTCCCCCCTCCCTACCTTTTTAGGTATTTCCAAACTATCATATTTATCCTCCAACTGCACCTCACGTTGCTTATATGCAACCCAAAGCAAATGCACCTTCCTTCTTCATGGCTGACGAACTCCGACAGGTAGGATTTCACAATTCCTTGTAGCGATACGCAGTGTCTTCGGGGGTGTCAGGGAAGGGTTGGCCAGAGCACAGGGTTGTGTACAGGTCCCAGCGTAGAATCCAAAATATTGTGTGACAGCAGAGAGAGCTGATAATTTCCAGTCAGTCTGTGGATGCCAGGAAACCAGGGTTTCCAGAAGGTAGCAAGGAATTCCGGGTTCTTAGAATATCAGGGCACTTCCAAAGTTTGTGGGAAAATGAAGATTACATTTTAAGTAATGCTTAAAGAGAATGAGGTTTCCCACAAACAATGTGATGCCTCCTCTTGATTTAAAGGCTCACCTTTCTGTGAATCATACCTTTGGGATCAAACCGGCTCCTGGGGGTATATTAACAAGTGAATTTGAAGGTTGTTTGCTAAAATGCATAGGTTTGGAAAAAGTCATTTCGCCCAGAAGCAAACTTCCATTTTTTAGGAGCACTGATTATTTTTTGATAAAGGAGGTTTTGAAAAATAATTTTGGTTTTTTTGGGTGGTGGTTGTAGGCAGGTTTTCTTCTTTTATTAAAAAAACACAGTAGTAATAGTAGTAACAGTAATTCGATTTGTAGAAGTTTCAGTTTACCCTTTATCTCCACAATGTTTTTGTCACACAGAAAGTGTCTAAGTTAAAATGTTTTTCTTTCCAGTGGACCTAGAGTTTTTAAAACCACAAAGATAGTCATGTGCTATCTAGTCTCAACCTTAATTAGGGCCAGATTTAGCGAAGACTGGAATTTCAACACTTTGCCATCTTTAGAAATGCTGTTTCATGATTTCAACATTTAAGACAGTGTAGACCAGAAATGTTCATGCTTACGTTCTTTAGTAGTGATATTGGGAAACCCAGATTTCAGTAATTGTGTTGAGATAGACATGTGCTTGCTTTCCCTGTTTTAGGAGCTGATCAACAGACACTTAATAACAATGGCTCAAATTGATCAAGCAGATATGCCAGGTAAAAGGACCCCGCTTTAATTTGTAGTTCTGTGTGGTTTATATATCGCTGCTGTAGTTCATTACTGTTTTATGAATGTATTTATTTGAATCTATTAAGAGCTCCAAGATCATCTTTTTTCTTTCAGATAGTTGTACATGTGACAGTATTTTGGGTCAGCCACAATTTAAAAGTTCTGTGGAGATTTGTTTCACTGTGAGCTAGAGTATTCTGTCAGGAAACTTGGCCAAGCATAGCTCTTACGGGTCTTGGGGTACTGGATTTCACAGAGGGGGCTCTGATATGGGTGCCCGACAGTGTGCTCATTTAGTCCTTGACATAGCTGTCTCTAAAAGTTCCTCCATCCTGCATCCGAGGAATTGATAGTGGTTAAGTAATTTCAAGCCATTTGAACTGCAAGGTCGGTGGTTCAAGCTCACCAGCTGCTCCTCGGAAACCCTATGCAGGGTCGCTATGGGTCAGAATTGACTTGACGGCATTTACGAACAACAACTTATTTACTTATGTTGCTGTCGTGACATGCCATCGAGTCAGTTCTGACTCACACTGATCCTATGTAGGGTTTCCAAGGAGCAGCTTTTGGTGGGTTTGAACTGCCAACCTTGTGGTTTGCGTCCAGTGTTGCTGTTACAAGACCAGCCAAACCACAGTGATGACATCTACGCCAACTCACAGCGACCCTATGTAGGGTTTTTTAGATTGTCAGTCTTTACAGAAGCAGACAGCCTCATTTTCCTTCCTTGGAGTTGCTGGTAGGCTCGAACCACTGTTCTTGTGGTTAACAGCTCAACTCTTAACTCACTACACCACCAGGGCAAACCCCAACAAACTAAACTCATGGCCTTTTAATGAATTCCACCCTATAGTGACCCTTTGTAGGGTTTCCAAGACTGTAAATCTTTATGGGAGCAGAAAGCCTCATCTTTCTCCCATGGAGTGGCTGGTACCAGGTTTGAACTGCTAAATATTCAGTTTAGTAGTCTAGTGCTTACCCTACAGTTGCCACTAGGCCTTCAGGGCTAGTGACCCCAGAATTGCTGGCCTCGTCGAGTGGTGAACCTGGTTTCCTTACTCCACTGCAGGGCTTCTCGGGGGGCGTGAAGGACTCTCCTTCCCCGAGCTTATTGGATGTCTAGCAAGATTAAACAGAGCACCTTCTAGTGAAACTTCATAAGGACTATGTCTGCCATGGGGGTGACCCCAGTTCCTTTTTCCTAATCAAGGATTCAGCCCCACGTGCAATGGGTGCATCTTCCTGTTGGTTGAATTAAGAGAAATTTGACTATTATATCTTAAAATTATGCACTCCTGGGGTGGCGCTGTAGGATCAGCCCTGGACTGTGAAGCACAAGGTCAGTAGCTCCTTGAAAACGCTGTACAGGGTCACTGTGAGCTGGAACCGACTCCAGAGCACTTAGCAACAATACAACATCATAACCAGTGTCGGTGGTACCTAGAGAAAGCTTTCTGTCATAACCTCTGAGGTGTCCTGTTGGAAAATTTATGAATCAATTTAACAGTCTGCTTGAGACACCCTACCCTGTTGTTGTTAAGTGACCCTGCAGAGGGTTTCCAAGGAGCAGCTGCAGTTTTTGTGCTCTGCCTCTGACCCTTTTATAACCAGGTCTCTACTCCTAAACATTTTCCCGATCAGTTTTTCCACTATTATTATTAAACTGCAGTAGGCATTTCAATTAGTTGCGTATCTTGATTTCCTTGGGTTAAATTCCTTGAATTGTACTTAATAAGCCTGGGTTTGAGTTTTTAAAAGTTTTGATACAGATTGCCAAATACGAGGGGGTTTCTAAAAGTTCATGGGAAAACACCATTATCTTTAAATTCCATTTTTTCACAAACTTTTTGAAGTCCTCTTGTATACATAGGCATACACACACACACACACAACACACACACATCCACTGCCCAATGTAATGCTATTTGCATCTCTTGTGGCTCTGTGGGTTAGTGTGTTAGACTGTACTGTCGATTTGAACCGCAAGGTCAGCAGTTCAACCTCACCAGTTGCTCCTTGGAAGCCCTATATAAGGTTGCTATGGGTCGGAATCGACTGAATGTCACTTAACAAAAACAACATGTGGCACTCCAAATTGTTGCTCATATCTGAGAAGTCAAAAATTTGTATTGTGAGCTGTAGGATAAGTAAGCATTTGACTGCCAACCTCAGGGTTGAGTTGGAAACTTAACAACTGCATGAAAGATGAGAAATATGTTTGTGCATGAAGTTGACCGTCTCGGATGTTTTTAGACTGCCTGTTTCTATTGATAACTGAAGTCATGTTTTGTGGCGTTGCTCTAAGTGTGGACCCTGTTCTATAATCAGAATGTGTGTTGTGAAACATGAATGGGTGATAGGAGACTTGAGCTCTCCTTTGTTGCTGTGTGTGCCTGCCATGTAAAGCCGCCTTCCCATTTGGTACTGACCGTGAGTGTGTGTTCCTGACTCTAGCCGTCCCTTCGGAAGTGGACAGCTACCACAGCCTCTTCCCTCTCGAACCACTGCCACCCCCCAACCGGATACAGAAGTCAAGTAACTTTGGGTACATCACGTCTTGCTACAAAGCTGTAAATAGTAAAGACGATCTGCCATACTGCCTTCGGAGGATACATGGTAAGCCCAGTCATCTCGTCAGACGATCCAAACCTTCCTAAACATTCGAACCATTTATTCAATATTTGACTTTCAAGGGCAGTAAATAACTTAAGGAGTCCTGGATAAGTACTAGACTGCTAACCCCAAGGCTGGCGGTTCAAACCCCCCAGCTGCTCCTTGGACACCCTTTAGAGGGCACTTCACCACCTCAACAACAACTCACTTGCTGGTTTTATCTGGGAAACTACTGTGAGCTGAGGGATGTGGAGGCTGGCTTTCCAGCCACGTTGGTGGTGGGATGGGTGTGGGGGTGTTTGTCACTTAGAGTTCTGTAGGACAGAGGAGGGCTGCTCCATAAGGCTTCGGAGCCTATAAATGTGCCCGGAGCAGACTGCCTCCACTCTCTCTGCAGAGTGGGTGGGGGTTTGAACTGCCAGTGCTTAGCCCACAGAGCCACCAAGGGCTCCTTATTGTCTGTTTGCTGTAGTGAGACTTTCGCTTCTTCAGGTTTTCGTCTTGTTAACACAAAGTGCATGGTGTTGGTTGACATGTGGAAAAAAATCCAGCACTCCAACATTGTAACATTGCGGGAAGTCTTTACCACGAAAGCTTTTGCAGAGCCTTGTGAGTAACGGGGAGTGGTCTGCCTGTTGGGGCCAGGGCGGGTCCAGTTTCGCTGCCCAGTTGCAGTCATGAGTGTTTGTGTCTTCTTGTAGCTCTGGTGTTTGCCTATGACTTCCATGCTGGAGGAGAGACGATGATGAGCAGGCACTTCAACGACCCCAATGCCGATGCCTATTTCACCAAGAGAAAGTGGGGTAAGGAAGAGACCCCAGTCTTTGGGTTGCCGCTAGTCCACTTGTTAAGAAGTAGCCTCAAAAGAGGAGTCATTCTATAAGAAGTGGGGAAAGACCAGGGGACTTGAAAAAGGTGGTGGAAGAATAGAAGGAAGAGATAATGGGATGAGTCCACACGCTTTTTCAAGGCCCCTCGTGGCGCAGTATGTGCATGGACCGAGGACAAGGCTCATGGACGACTCCTGGAAGGAACTGGGAATAAGGCTCAGAGTGTCCCGTCCTTTCGCCCACTGCCCCCCCTCCTTTTTTTTTTCACCATCTAAAACCAGAACATTTCGTTATGTATACTTTTTCTAGGCCTTTTTTTTTTTTTTTTTAAGGAGGGGTTTCTATCTTTGCGTTATCATGCTTTTTTTAAAATCATATTTTGTATTTGTTGGGAGAATAGTGGTACTCCCCCTAATTTTAATACGTCTGACTAGAATCTTCAGTGACCTTCCTTAGTCTAATGTGACTGCTATACCGTGGTGGGTGTGGCCTTACAGGTAGGAAGGGGTCCGTGTTCCTTCAGGAACCCGCCTCCAGGACACGTGTCCCTTTGACTTACACCTGGACTGTTGTCGTTCTTAATATTTTTTAATGTAAAATACATAGAAAAAGACATCGGCCCTGTCATCCGGGTATTTTCCCCGTCCTTTATGATACTTATTGAAAAATTGGTCTCGTAAATCCAATTTGTAAAGGACCAGAACATCGTCATTATTACATATAACAGATGCTTATTAGAGGGTAAATAGTTTCTGAGACACGATGAGTCTGTTTTGAGATGTCTGTTTAACGTTAATTTGCGCACTATATTTGAGAAAGGTCTCCTTTTCTGGTTTTGGAGTTGAATTCATCAATGTGGTTTTTGTTGTTATTGGACATGATGACAGAGATGAAGGGAAGGGGCCTGGGTCCACATTGTACTACCTTCCAGCTTGTGGCTGCCTTACAGACGCTAATTGTGGGCTAAAAGACAGTGAATTCTGTCTGTTTCCTGGTGCCTTTGCTCTCTGCTTTTTGACAGTTAAAAGGAGAAAGTTGTGGTTACCTGGCTGTTTGACATTAAAAATCTGGTCGGATGATGTGGCTTGCTTTTCTCCCCTTTTGCCATGTCATCTGTAGACACACACATCATTTTGTTGAAGAGGATGTGGTATAACTTTTCCTTTAGATAAATGTGGTTGTAGTTGTTCAGGTTTATTTTAGTAATATCACCTGTAGAATGACTGTTGGTTTTAATTTATAGCTGGCTTTCTCAACCTCAGTACTGTTGACATTTGGGCCAGATTTCTGGTGGAGGGCTGTCCTGTGCATTGCAGGATGTGTGTGGCAGCATCCATGTCTCCACCCCGTAGGTGCCATAGCACTAGGTGCCCTCCCCCACTGTCAGTGCAACCAAACATGTCTCCAGTCATTGCCAAATGCCCCTGGGGGAGGACGAGAATTCACCCTGCTTTGAGAACCACCGATGTTCAAGGGTAAGTCAAAAAGTACTGCTACAGAAATCATAGCAACCTTTATTAGAGAAAAATATCAGAATGTGCAGGTATTGTTTCTGCCGTAACCTGCATCGGTGTCTGTATACTTCTGAAGGTGGCGTTTCCATTTCTCTAGCCTTCTCTCGAAGAATTCTGGACTCTTCAATCTACACCACATCAAAACATCAATTTTGGCATGCACGATGAACTCAAATCATGTTCCTTTTAAATGCTCTTTGAGTTTGGGGAACAGAAAGTTACCTGAATGTTGGGGCAGGATCAGGACTGCAGGGTGGATGGGGTCAGGCTTCCCAACAAACTTCTCCTAAGCCCTTGCTGACCTTGAAGGATGAGCAGGTGCAGTGTCATGATGGGAAATCACTCCTCAGCCCAACTTCCTCTCCTCCTTTTCACTAGTACCCTTTCAAGTTGTCTTAAAATCTCTTCATAATAAGTTTCCAGTGCTATCCTGTGTGTCCTTTGAGGAAATCTGTCAAGATTATCCCTTTGGAATTTCACAGACCAGTCACCATAACTTTCCGAGCTGACTTCTGCCTTGAAGTGAATTGGCCAATCAGAGCCCCTCAGAAGGCAGTTTGGACTGGACCTTGAAGTGAATTGGCCCAGCAGAGCCCCTCAGAAGGCAGGATCATACTGACAGAGCCAAAAGGCATCCCGAGTTATCGATTCTGCAAAATTCTCTCCTATTAGCGTCAATCTTGCTTAAAAGGCTGATGGAAAGATCAAGTCTTTGAGCTCTCTGGTTTTCATACGTCACTTTTGGTCCCCATCAAGTTGAAAGCTTGCTGATTTAAGATGTTCACTTCAAGTGGGAAATGCCCTTCCACCTAAGACCCCCACATCTGTAGCATCATTGGTGACTGTGGGCTGCTCGCACTACTGTCTGGACTTCAGCCACAGTTTCTTCCTTGGAGGTTGGCGGGCTTCTCCCTCTTTGGCTCACGGGCTCGTTTTTGAGCTCTTCCTGGCCTTCCTTAAAGCGCTCGCTCCATCTAGCACCAGTTGTTTCACATGAAGCAGTATTCCCACAAACCTGTTGCAAAGCTTCAGTGATTTGGGAAGATGTCCACTTGAGTTCTGTTAAACATTTGACCTCAAAATCATTGTTTTCAGTGGTACAAAGAGAAGTCTTTCTTTCGAAGGCACCCTAGCAAGAGTAGAACAGGTGCATTACTGAGAGAATGTGTCAGTAGCCCCCCACTGATGCCAGAGATGAGTCAGAACCCCAGTAGCAATACTTTTTGACGTCTAGCATTCCTTCTTGGGTTTTTAAAAAAAACAAATCACAATGGTTTTGTTTTGGTGTTGTTTATTTGATAAGATACGTTACTGTTTACCTTGTCACAGAATCCATCCTTTTTGTAGCATTTGAGATACGGCTTGAATGGAGGTAACTTTTTAAAGATACCATATGAAGGGACTTCAGAAAGTACATAGAAAAACTCCATTACTTTTTAATTCCATTTTCCCACAAACTGTTTGAAACACCTTCATATATGCTTCAGTTTACAGCAGCTTCTAATACAAGGTAATCTGTGGTTTTCTCCACGTGAATATTAAAAAGAGAAAAAATACTGGACAATATTTCTGTCAACTCTTAGGAAGATAGTTGAAAGGCCAGTGTTTTCTTATACTGTAGCATTGTGTTGTTGTCAGGTGCCTCAGATCAAATCGGACCCGACTCATAGCGACCCCACGCACAGCAGAATGAAACAATGCATTAGTAAACACTAACATGAAAATCACATACAAGTTGACTCTGAAACGTTCATGGAAAGTTCCATTATCTTTTCACTCCATTTGCCGTGAACTTTTTTAATCCCCTTCATATTTATTAGAAGGTGCATACTAATTTAACAATTGGGCTGCTCTACTAGTTTCTACATAATTCCATGCTACGTAGAGAGGGTGGTGAGAGTTTTAAATGAGTTTATGTGGATAAAGTCTGGCACGCTGGAAGCACTATGTTTGTGGTCGTTGATAAGTGCTGTTGAGTCAGTTCCAACCCATCGTGACCCCATACAGGGTTTCTGAGGAACGTCTGGTCAGTTTGAACCGCCGGCCTTGTGCTTCAAGTCCACTTTGCAGTCCAGTGTATTGACCCACAGCGCCACCCCAGGACAGCACTATGCCGTTTCACTTAAATTCTTCATATTCATCGTTGACATCGTCTTAGCGTTTCTCACGAGAGCGCCTGCTTGTGTCGTTTTCAGTGTCTGATCTTCAGGGTCAGCTACGTTACGTTTGAGTGAGGGTCGTTTTTGAATTCTGTGCTTTTCACTGGAAATTTTAATCCTCTGTAAGTGCCCATTTGCTGCTAGAGTTACAAATATCTGTAGAACTCTCTCGCTGTTGTATTTGATACACAAAAAGTTTGTTGACAGCCATATGCATTCTTGCACGTGTAAAGTTGTGTTCTTGAGATACAGATAAAATCTGGGTGAAATTAATATGCCCTCCTTTTCTACTAATTTAAATATTTGTTGTTGTTGTTAAGTACCGTGGAGTCGATTCCGACTCATAGTGACTCTATACAGGGTTTCTGAGGCTGTAAATCTTTACGGGAGCAGAACACTTCATCTTTCTCCCGCGGAACCACTGGTAGTTTCAAACTGCCAACCTTGAGGTTAGCAGCCTGATTCGCAGCCACTACGCTGCCAGAGTGTGGCGTTGTGGGTTAATGAGCCAGACTGCAAAGTTGTTTGAACTGCAAGGTTGGCGGTTCAAGCTCACCAGCTGCTCCTCAGAAACCCTTTACACAGGGTCGCTGTGGGTCGGACCCTACTAGACAGCACACAACAACAATTTAAATATTAGCCCAGAAATAATCAAGATGAACTTAACAGACTTGATAGAGTAAGGTGACTTTTAAACTTTGTATTGTGAGTTGGGTGAAGGTTGGGGCAGAGCCCATTATCAGTTTTCCATTCAGGAATTCACACACATGTTGACTGCAGTCCCCACATTGGAAGTTGACTCCTCCCACTTCCTCCCTGTCTTCCTGTTTCCATTCCCCCCTCTCTCCTCACCCTTCTCAACTGGGTCCCTTTGACCTCCTGCGGTGGCTTATTCTAAGGTGTGTGGACCTCTCCCTAGTGTGTGATTGTTCCCCTCCGAGACCTGTCTGTCTTTCCACTGAAAATGGAGCCGTGGGGGTGAGTTAGGTACCAGACCTGAAGGGAGACTAAGGGACACAGTCTCTACGGGACCTGTAAGCCTGGCCTTTTTTATGACTCGGAGTTTTGTTCCCTGTTTTCTGACATTCTATCTAAGACCTGCTGATGTTAGCCCTCACAGAACAGTTGGTAGTGGGAGCTGGGCGCCATCAAGTCTTCTCATCTCAGGGTTGTGGAGACTGCTGTGCACATGTCCATTAGTACCCTGGACTCATTGCTTCCAGGTGGGTTGGACTTTCATCCCTCCTCTTTCCTCCGGATGGGGCCAGACCAGTAGTTGCACCTTAGATGGGCACTCACCCGTTGTTGAAAACCCCAGTGGTGTTAGCAGAGTGGGCTGTGTAGACCATTGTCTTTGTGGATTGTGTTCTGCCAGTTGACTTTGGTGTGCTCTGAGATTGTGATCATGAGCCCAGGCGCCCAGGCCTAGTGACTCATCCCCTCAGGAGGTTTGGTTAATGGCTGAGACCTTTTCAGAACTTTGTCCCTTGTATGTTCCCCCGCACTCATGGAAATATTTGAAGTAAAACTCAGTGCCTGTCTGTGGATAACCTCTGCCAAGTATTTGTGGGTATGCTCCATCCAGATGGTGTGACAGTGACTGCTTTTGATGGTGGGCTGGATTAAATTTGTGTTTCATCTGGACACGTTAAGTGACATTCACATTTTTATTTATATATAAATTGAATGTCATCCTCTCAAACTGAAATGGCTCCAATAGAATAGAAGAGGACGAACAATATATGGGGGAAATTTTCCTTTTTAATTCAACGTAAATGGTGGCTGCTTTTTGTTCATTGCCGTGGACCATTGTGCTCCGTACGTTTTCATATAGACGAGGGTCCTGATGTGACAAACCACCCAGGATGAGCACTGGACTGTTAGCCACAAGAGTGACAGCTACTCCTCAGAAGTGCTGTACTGGGTCGCTGCCAGTTGGAACTGACTCAGTGGCGCTTAATAACAGATCGGTAGACATTTTGTGCCGTGAATGTGCACACATTTCCTGTTTATTTCTCAGGTTTCTTTTTTGTTCAGTTCCTTGGTAATTTTGGGTTGAGTTTGGTGTTGACATTTTGTTTTTATTGGTCACTTTTGGTGGGTTACCTAAATGGAGACGCCATTTTTCGTTTGTTTGGTCCGTAGGTCAACACGATGGCCCATTGCCCAGACAGCATGCTGGGTTGCTGCCTGAGTCTCTCATCTGGGCGTACATCGTCCAGCTGAGCTCTGCACTGCGCACCATTCATACAGCAGGTTTGGCATGTCGAGTGATGGACCCAACGAAGATTCTGATCACTGGCAAAACCAGGTACTACTAGCATGTTGAGTTTGGGCTTTTTTATTCAGCATTGAATCTTTTGACAGCTTCGTAAATAAAATATGATGATTTGTTTTAATTCTACCTTTTCCTATACCCCATCCAGAAGAACTGCTGTGACTTTGAGTTCATGTGTAAGTTAAAAAAAAAAAAATTGTTGAATTTGTAATAAAATGCCTGGTTACTGACGGAAACTCTTGCTAAGGGGCGGGAGAGTGTGTGTGGTAGGTGTGGGTGGGGTTTAGGAGCAGCAGCAATGCAACTTGATTTGTAGTTGAGTCCGAATCGCCTGTTGGGTGGGAGAGGTGCTTTTATTTTATTTCTGTTCTATTTTTACTGAAAACGTGCACAGCACAACTCACTACCATGACAGTGTAGATGGTGATGGAAGAAGGTGCTTGTGTCCTTCACGTTGGATTTCAGTCGCCTTACACCTGTTCTAAGTGGCTCATTTTCAGTGACCTAGTCTCCCTGCTCCCCCTACCCCTTTGCCATCTGAGATGTAAAATAGCTAATGACCCTTTGGTCTTAAGTGTATATAGATATATTTGTAAGTAACACCGTACTTCAGGATGACCGTCTTTGACCCTTTGGGCTAGGCTGTTAGTTCATGATTCTAAGGAATAGTCCCAATCCAAGGTATAAAGAACCTCAGGGCCACAGTCTTGGGTGGTACTCCGTAAGTCTGGAATCTGTAAGAATTTGAAGTTCTGTTCCACACACACACCCCACCCCACCCCCATTTTGTCAGGATTGCTCTGTTCTGATCAGACCGTTCAGTTGTGGTGGCTGGCCACCATCTAATTCCCTCTGACTTCAAGGTGGAAGAGGCACTGGTTCATGTAGGCAGTTAGCCTGGTAGTTCCGTTGCTTCTCATTCTTGGGACACATGGAGGTCTTTATCAAACACTAATTGTTAGGCTTCATCCCCCAAGTTTCCTGTTCAGTGGGTCCTGGGTGGAGTCCAAGAATTTGCATTTCCAGCAAGTTCCCAGGTCACACTTAAGCTGCTGGTTGGCTCCCGTGCTTTGAGTCCCACTGATCAAGTCCTTTAACACAGACCGGGACTTGCCTGAGTCTGCGCGGCGTTGCTGCACTGGTGGGGACTTCCTTGAGCAGCATGCCTTACAGAGCTGTGGGCCCGGTCCACGGTTAGCTGGCTTTAGCGCCTGCCTGTGCTAGTGATTGTCGCCGTCTTCCCACACCCTTGTTGGTGTTTTCTTTGTTTCCCTCATTTGTAAAGCAGTAAGTTTCCACTAGTACACAGTTTTTAAAATGTAATTGTAATCTGTTTTCTTTAAATTCTCTGGTCCTTAAAGGTTACGAGTAAATTGTGTTGGAGTTTGTGATGTTTTAACATTTGATAACAGTCAGAATAATAACCCGTTGGCGTTAATGGCTCAGTACCAGGTGAGTAAGGGTTAACGTTGGCACGCTCTGTAATAACTTCAATCTAGAGGTGTTATTTTAGGGTTTAAAGACAAATTTTAGGAATTTTAAAGTATTGCAGGGAATTTTACTCTGGGGGTGGTCCCTGGCAAGCTGTGGAATTGCTGTCACCTTTGTGGTGTAGAGCCTGTGTGCGGCAGTCCCAGAGCCTAGGTACATCGTGGGGTGTGAGGAGGCGGTTTGTCTTCAGTGTGGAGTAAGACACATGAGTCAGCTGAGTGCTCACATCAAAGCACAGGTCTTCCATTCCTTGAGCATCATAATAATCATCACACTGTAGAGCCATGAGGGGGCTTCCAAAGTTCAGGGGGGGGTGGGATGGAATTAACAAATAATACAATTTGTACACAATGTTTTTGAAGCCCTTAGTATTTTCAAAGAAATGTGTGGTCTGCCATTTTGTAACTTTTTGTGTGTGAATTACACACAAGGTCATCAGTTTTACATTCAATGAATCAGACACTTTGTGTTTCATCTCAGTGGTTACAATCGCCTCCCTGCAGCCTCAGCTACCAGGCTGCTTACTCCCTGTGGTTCCTGTTTTCACTCCACGCTCCTTCCCATCCTTCCCCAGCTTTGTCCTTAGGGGAATGGTGCCCTTTTGATTTGGAATGATTGACCATTCCCTGGTGAGCATGCCTCACTAGAGGTGGTGTCCCTGCTGTAAACCTACAGTGGCCAGTCTACTTCTTGGCTGAAAATTGGGCCATGACGGTGAGCTGTATACCAGACTTAGAGGGTGGTCTTTCTCACCAATAAACCCAGTCTTTTTTTTTTTTTTTTTAATTTTTTTCTCCCTTAAAAAACAACAACCATTTTTCTACCACTGTATCCATTGGAACCTTCTCTACCACTGTATCCATTGGAACCATCACTGTATCCCAGTTGATGGCTTATACTCACTTATTGTAAATTATTTGACTGTGGTTAGAATCTGATTTTGTCTAAAGAGCACTGACTTAGTTCCCATTGTGTTCTCAGTTGCTTATTCGTGACCTCTACGACAACGTGTCGTCCAATAAGAACCTGTCTCTGTGAAGAGATACTAAGAGCAGTTGCTTTCACATTGACTAATCTGTGCAAATGGCAAGATCGGGGATTCAAACCCACCAGCCGTTCCTTGGAAACCCTATACAGAGTCACTCTGAGTCAGAACAGCATCCCAGTCTGTCTGTGCAGTGACCCTAGCTATCTGAAGTCAGTATTTGCTATCGTCCAGCTGGCATTTTAAGACCACCTAGGTCATTTTGCTTGCTTTGAAATGAGCTAGAGATAGGGCAGTCGCCCTTCATCAATCACATATAGAAACCAAGGAAAATACAACTTGCCATTGCGTTTTTTGTTTTTCAAGCTTTGATTATGAATTAAGTGATAGTTTTACATGGGAGAACATCGGTTTTGTACTCTACCAATTGTATTTTGTTTCACTGCAATGATTATAATCCCTTCCATGCACCATCGGTTAACAGTTTTGCTTCTGTACCCTCTTGTTTTTTTTGTTTTTTTTGGGGGGTGGGGTGGGGGGTATACACAAAACCTTGCAGGAATATATAATCATTAAACCCACCAAAGGGCACATTCTTCGAGTCTGTCTCCTGGCCGCCAGCATTCAATCCCTCTCTTCTCATGAATCTAGAGTCCTCAGCTGCTTCTTCTCTCCATGTCCTCATCTCTGCCTCCATCTCTGGTGTCGCTGCTTCTCTGGATAGGGTCCCACATTCTGCTCTTGCTGGTCTTAGGGCCCTCACGCCTTCCCATTGCTTTTTAAGACTTTGTAAAAAGGTTTCCGTTCACTTTTCCTTTAAGATAAAATTTCAAGACATGAAAGAAGGAGAGGTGAAGTGGTCTGGAGTGTGTTTTGCATTTTTATTTGGTCATAAACGCTTCGGTTGAATGGGGAAGTGTGATCAATTTACAGGCACTGGCTGGCATGTTGTCGCAGGCATTCCATACTTGGTCCCCTGTGCTCCTGAGGCTGGTGGTCAGCATAGAGTCCAGTGAGAGCAGTGTCCCCTGGGGAGAGATCCCAGGAAGAACCTGCCTCTGTTCAGTGTCGGCTTGTCATGAGGGCATGTAGTGTTAAGGTCTGACTTTGCTCGGCAGATGCGAAGGGGTTCAGTTACGTCAGGATTCTGGACAGAGTCGAGCCGTTTCTGGGGCTTCTGAGCCTGTCTGTCTCCATGGGCTCTGCCTGCCTTGTCCTTCTCCTGGGAGGGGGCCTCATAGGCAGTGTTTACTGGTTCTAGGCACCTCCAGCCATTTCTGTGCAAGTTACATTTGAAATCTCCTTATACTAAATCAGTGTTTGGTAAACAAGCACATATTCAGTCGCTGTGAAGAGAGCTCAGAGTTTGAAAACTTGCCCAGGTGTTCTATAGAAACTAATTCAAATGAGCATATGCAAATGCTGCAATACTTCACTCCAGTAAGCATGGAGGATTAACCCTTGTTCGCCCAACAATTGTGCCACTTCAGGCCGCCTTTCTGATACCTGGTGCATTGGGATAGAAGAGAAGGATCTAGCCATCTGTGGTTTTGATTTTTTTTTTAAAGGTTTTTATTGTGAATTGAGTGAAAGTTTACGGGGAAGATCATCAGTTTTACATTCAACAAATCATACACCTTGTTTCATTACAATGATTATAATCCCCTCCATGTACCATCAATTAATTAATAGTATTTCTCTCTATCCACTTTAGGTTTTTTGGGAAAAAAATGAAACGAAACCCTCAGGCATACATAACAATTTAATAATTTACACCTCCAAAGGGCATTCTGCAAGTCTGCCTCATGGCCACCAGCTCTTAGTCCCTCTCTTCCCATGAATCTAGAGTCTTCAGCCGCTCTCCCTCTCCCATTTCTGCCTCTGATTTGGGCGTTGCTGCTTCTCTGGATAAGGTCCCGCATTCTGCTTGTGCTCTTCTTCCTTGATGGCCCTAGGGTCCTCTGTTTCTGGACTATAAGATTAACCACTCCACTGTTTTTGTTACAAAACTTCTACCTTTACAATTGTGACAGTCACAATTAGTCATGATAACAGTTATTCACTATTGAATCATATGAATCTTATCCCCATCTCTTTTCACCAAATCCATCAAGACAAGATGAAATCTATTCAGTTGGGACTCTTTCTTTCTCCTCATACTCTTTTTTTTTTTAATGTTTTATTGTAAATTATATGATAGTTTACATTAGTTTTACATTCATCGTATCATATATCGTTTCATTGCCATGGTTACAATCCCCTCCATGCATCATCAGCCAACCAAAGGGTATACCCTACAAGCCTGTCTCCCCCCCCCCCCCCAAGCACACAGCTCCTCTCCCTCTCTGGGTCTAGAGTGCCCACTCTCCACTCTTCTCCCTCGATATGGTCCCAGGGACCTCCGCTCCTAGATTGCAAAGTTAATCACGCCCCTCCTTGCCACAAAACGCCTGCCTTTACATTTCCAACCCTCACAATCAGTCCTGATAACAATTATTCACTGTTGTATCACAGGAGACCTATCCGCATTTCCTTTCATCAGCCCCGCCCAGACAGATTGGATACTACTCAGTGGAGATTCTACCTTCCTCCAGGCCCTCTGGATCTAGGCTCCCTCTTAAAAAGCTTGTAATAAAGGCACTTCTTGCCTTTGTAGGCTCCCCCCCCCGCCCATTTTGGGTAGCCAGTGTCCAAGTTGCCCATCCCTGTCTACTCTGTTTAGCCAACTGTGTTTTGAAAACCTTTTTAGAAGGAAAACTTCAGAATGCTAATTTTGGGGGAGGGGAGAAGGGTAGGAAACCAGGTGGTTAAAGAACTCAAACATGAGTTCTAATACAAATAGAAATAGCCAGTTTGGAAACACTGATAGGTTGGATGTCACTGTGCTTTACAGAGTTTTTGAGGTTAAAGAAGGAAGACTTGCTGTAAAATCAGGGCATACTGATGATGTAGTTTTAATGGGAAACCTTTTTTCTAATAATTCCTCAAACTGCCACTCTGTTCTGGAGTTACGGGACATGAGAAAATGATTCTCTCTCGCTCACCGTGGTCATTGTCAAGCAAGACCTATAGGAGCTGTTGGACCCAAAACTAAAGAAGCAACATCCACAAAACAGGCAGAACGAGGACCTGAGCGGGCATGAAACTCACTGTCACATGTTCCACATGTTCATCGCTCATGGACACATTTCCTGTCCTTCCATCCAGTCTCCCAATTTCTGAAATCCTCCTTAAACTAAACAACACAGAGAGTCTAGTAAGTGGCTTCAGTTTTTTTGAGATGGTAAAGAATCCCAGCTCTTCTTAGAAACACAGACAAAGCAAACAGCTCTCACCGAGCTGGCGTCTCTGTTGTTCCCTAAAGTTTGGCTCTAGAATTGCCTGCATCAGAATGCTCTTCCCTCAGCTCCCGTGATTCTGATGCGCACCCCCGTTTAGAAGCCCACCTGAATGTTCCAGCCAGTTAGCAGAGGTGCTGCTGTAGGGGGCCTGTGAGTGTAATCACAGGGAATGAGTAGTCTGTCTCTTCTTTGGTGGCAGCAAGCGGACCTGATTTCACTGGGAAAGGTCGTGCTGGCTTTGGCTTGCAACTCCTTGGCAGGAATCCAGCGTGAGAGTTTACAGAAAGCTGTGGAGCTGGTCACGATCAACTACTCCTCCGACCTGAAGAACCTGATTCTGTAAGTTCTCTCAGACACTGGGGGGCCGAGGGGTGGGGGGCAGGGGGAGACAGTGAGCTTTCGAGTTTGAAGCTTTTTGTTGTTTAACTTTTTGTGAGTTGGCTGATGGGTTACAGAACAGATCAGGTGTCCCCCCCAACAAACAGTTCACACATTTTGTCTCATGTTGTCTCTCTCCTCCCACTGGCTCCCAGCGTCCTGTGTTGCCTGTTTCCTTTTCTCCTCCTCTCCTAAGCCCTGTCCACTTTGTCCTGGGGTCAGTGCTGTCCTGCTCTTCTCCATGGACTGATGATGATTCACAGGTGTGTGTGCCCCCTAGCATGACTGTCCCTTTTATGGGCCTGACTCTGGTTCCGCAGAAAGTTGAGCTGTAGCTTGATTTTCATAAGGGTCCTTTAACTTTAACAGTGATTCTGGTTAGTTATTTGAACTTTTCACGGCTTCAATTCAGGCAAAACCTGCAACTTTTAGTGTCTTTATTTTTATTGGAAGTAGATATTTGTTGGCATAGGTCCATAAATCAGTATGTGTCAATCAGGTATTGATGGGTTTAAAATGTGTTCAGGGGACATCATACAGACCCACGTATAGTCTTGTGTGGTATTCACAACCACACATGGCCTTTTCAAGTCAGACTTGTTGAAATGAACAATTCCGTTCCCTCAGTGGGGAGAGCCGTGTCTGTAGACTTCAGCAGTCACACTGGGGTCACAGCAGTACAGCCTGGAACATTCGGTCCCCTCCGAAAGCTCTCGTGGCCAATGCTGCTCTGAAAGAAGCTGCCACAAAGAAAGCTTGAGTACAGTCTGCCCGCGTACTCCAAGGGCACGTTCTCACGGCAGAGAGCATGCATGGCAAGGACGCTGAGGTTTCAGGAAAGCCTTGGGGTTTCTCCTGAAGTGAACTTGGTTTCAAAGGATTCCACTGTGGGCCTCCCTGTGGGAGACTTGTCCAGTAAAGGTGCCCTAACCCTGGGGGACTCAGAGATGAGCACCCCTGACCCTTGCTACCAGCACCAACTCTTCTCAAGAAGAAGCTACATGTTAAGTGCCGTGGAGTCCGTTCCGACTCATAGTGCTTGGTGGATTTGAACTGCTGACTTTGCAGTTCCCAGTCTAGTGCTTATTCTGCAGCACCACTCCAGGCCTCCAGAGAAGAGATACTAACCAGCAAGTGTCTGTGGAAACTTGACCTGTTATGTTCTAGAAGCAATTAGCACTTCTCGGTCCTTATCACCAGTCTTTTAGCTTCCAGCTG